AGGGTATTCGCAGTCGGGCCTTTCGTAGCAAGGCGCAAGAACGAACGGGTAGGCGGGGAAATCGGCATGATATTTTCGGATGACTACAGTGTGAGCAGCGTCATTCCGTCATCTGCATAGCCCCCTGTTGTGTGTTCGGCAAGCCATGCGGGGAACTTGTACAGGGAGGTGATGCGATAGCGTCGGGAGCATAGGTATCATATGTCTCCTATCCTTGAATCGTGCTTTGAGGCGGCCCCTCGAACAAACACATGTACGCCAAGCGGCAACCAGAATGTAGCCATGCGCCGCCCAAAATACAACAAATCAACGCGATGTCGGCCGATTCAAACGGGCGATTTGACCCTGCATGCGTTCGTGCCCACCGGCTACCTCATCACTCACATCTGCATTTTGTTGACACTGAAGGGCAAGAGGTTGGGATCGCGATCCTCCTCCGACCGCACTTCTGTCACGAACCCCCGTATCCAGGGTCTCATTCCAACCCTAAGCTGTGTTGCAACCAAACAAAATTCGACGGACGCGGGGACACGACGGGACGTGAGCAGCCGAAAATAATCAAGGAGTCGACGAGGAGCAGCAGGAATGGACGCACAAGACAGCAGCTAGCGGTTTCCACGTCCAGGTGCAGACACCTGTACGTCCGGTTTAGCGCAGGCAACCACAAGCGGGTGTCCAAGTGCTGTCGACGTGCTACGTGTTGTTGCGATATACTGTGACAGATTAACTGCGCTATCTTCAATTCGCCGGAGGCCCGCGACGATCCCACGCTCTGGCGGACAAGCCCCGAAGGACAGGAAGATTTTCGGTTGAACTCAAGTCGGGCGGAAAGCAGCAACAGCTGGCTTGAAGGTAGAGCGTCAAAATGTACATGTGTGCTCACCCGCCCTCTTGTCTTTTGTGTTGACCCCGGAAAAAGAGTTCACTTTTTATAATTGTTGGTTCACTTTTATAACAGTTAGTTCACTTTTGTAACAAGTGATTCTCACTTTCATGACAGAGACTTGGCGTTTCCCTGGCGACGGCACAACAGGGTGTTTTCATTAATGCGAGACAGCACACACGAAACGTCCAGGGTGTACATGTTCTTGTGCGATCTGGTCTGTCTCTTGTCTTCCGACTGTCTTGCCAACATGCACGCCCACACCATCAAAAGACCGATTTTTGCGCCCACGTCGTGTTTTTTTTTTTTTTTGTAGGCATGCTTTTCCCCTGCTTTTCTAGGCTTTGGGGTCGTCGTCAAACAGATGCCTCAAGTGCTGAGGGACTTCTTCCTCAACCACGCCATCCTTGTTCGGAATGAGACCCTTCTCAGGTCCAAACTGATGAGCCAGCACCCTAACTTCGATGGTTGAGATCGGTGGTGGAGAGATGCTGTACATGTTCTGGTTGTGGTGTAACCTTTGCGTTTGGTCAGCAGTTCACCGCTGTTTTTGCGGGTCTAGATTGGCATTCACCGATCGTCGGATAGGACCCCCGACAGAGACCTACTGTCACGGGTTGAGTGGTTACTGTCATAGGTTGAGTGGTTCACTCAACGACCTTCGTCGAGGTTGTTCATCTGCCGTGGGGTTCATTTGCGTCGTCGGAGGAAGGCCCGCGGTGGTATCAAAGGTGTTGTCGGCGGGTGTAGTGTGCCTTTATCCCTTTACGTCTTGCTCGCGGTATGTGCGAACCTAGGTGAACCAGCCGCACACACCCGTGAGAATCGTTCTAGCTGCACAGGGGGTTCGTCTTATTTATGCGGTGCACAACACGTACGGGCTTTGCTGCCCGAGGATCGCCATATCGCAATTACCTTCGTCACGTCATGCGCCTGGAACCTGTAACTGAAGTTGCACATTTCTATGATGCAATGATGCGCCTGGGCAAGTATGTGCTCGTCCCATCGTTCCGTTTCTTGATGAGAGCTGCAGAACTGCTCCAAAATCAAAGTCATTTTTACCGCCTGGCTGTTAAAGGTGACTTGCACGACAGTCGTTATACTTTTATGAAAGTCCCCAAACTGACTGTTAGTAATGTTCACCCACCGTCACTTTCATAAGAGTCAGCTGACCGTAACAACAGTGTTTGAACTTTCATGATGGTCAGCTGACAATCGTTTCACTTTTTTAAAAGTCCCCAAACTGACTGCTAGTAATGTGCACCCACCTCACTTTCATAATAGTCAGCTGACTGCTATAACAGTGTGTGAACTGACACCTCACTTTCATAAGAGTCAGCTCACTCTTATGAAAGTGAATGAACTGACTGTCATAACAGTGAAATAGCGATGACTGTTATAGGAGTGAGCCGACTGTTATAACAGTCAATTCACTGTTATAACAGTCAATTCACTGTTATAACAGTCAAATATTCACTTTTATAACAGTGAATCCATATACAAGATTGTGTGGGAGCCCGCGAGCTACCCCGATCTCACGACAGCAGTAACTCCCAACCGCCAAACTCAAGGATCCCCCTCTCAACAGTGCTAGGGACCGTATATCCGTCTATATATAATGGGGGTATTTGTAGCATAGTGTTGACGGGTTATCTTTGGTACATACCTACGGAAATTGCAGTGATGAGATGCGGAGGGAACCAGAACTTTCTGGGTATTTTCCTTGGAAGTGAGAAGAGTTTGGTGGAGATTCAGAGAGATCCGTTTGGTTCAAGCGTAATGAGCATGACGCGTGCTTGATGCCGTGACAGTTTTCGAGCGCAAGCACGCCCCCGACGAATACAACACGTTTCCCAACACGTTTTCTACCCATCCACGGCCCGTCATGGCCGAGCTGCTCTACACTCCCAACACACAGAACTGAGCCATCCGAATTATCGATCATACTTTCTTCCCATCCCCATCGACTCTGCGGGTAGTCTATATGTCGAATGGGTACGCAGTAGTCTTCATAGTAGTATAGGTAATTTCCTAAAAAGCTGGCTCTGAGGTTTGCATACACAGATACATATGCACCTCATCCCCACCCCAAAACCGGTCGCCCCGATGTTCTAGTGGGTACCCTCACAGCCTAGTAGGGGCCAGGTCATGGGTTCGAGTCCCGACAAAGTGGGTTATATTTCTCACCAAATAAATCCTGGTCTAATAAGTTGAAAGCGACGCGCTGCAAAGCTCGTTGTTAGTAAACTAGATCGACTTCTCAAGTCGCGAGGGAAGGGATTGCTGTACCCTTCTCGCGATGAAAATATCTCAGGCAGGAACCGCAGGAGGGGGTCCAACCCCCCCCTCCTATGTGACCCCGGTTGGGTCGTTTAGCTAGTAGAAGTGGAGGATGGGGGGGCCAGAGGGACAGCACAAGAGTCCAATGATCGGAGAAAAAATAAAAAGACAAAAAAATAAATCAAATGTACCTCATCAACTTGCTCATGGGCGCGACGGACGGTATCAACTACGAAGAAGGGGTGTCGCGCCGTGAGCCGTGGGGCCGTCCGTGGGGCCGTTCGCTGGGGGTACTTTCCTCCAGTAAGTATCCTCCACAGGAAAAACCGCTGCGTATTTGGGGACACTTCGGGTCCATTTTTAGCCTGTGACCACGGCAATCGACCGCGCCAACCTGCTGTATCTACCAAGCGTGTGGTGTTGGTTCGGTGTCGTGGTTGACAAGTGATCGATCAGTACGAACAGAGATGGAGGTACTGGGCAGAGAGATCGGAACGGATGTAAATGTGGAGACAACAAAGAGAACAACAACAACAGCAGGCAGACTGCTGTACTGTAGAATACGTACACTACAGTACATAATCCGCGGAACTAGACCATCCGACTAGTCAGCGCTGACTGGTCGGATGGTCTAGTTCCGCCGATTCAAAGATATGCTCTGAGCTCGTTAGCACCCGGCCGGATCACATGGGCGTGAGGCTGTTTGCGGCTTACTCGTTGAGAGGAGGGATCTCCGGGGCGTACCCCTCGCCATACGCTGCTGTTCTGTCAATGGTAATTCTACGCAAAGAGAAGTGATCCGACGGTATTCGAACTTCGTGCGGGTATCCTTCACTTCTCGGAACTAGACCATCCGACTATAGTCAGCGAGACCATCCGACCAGTCAGCGCTGACTTGTCGGATGGTCTAGTTCCGCGGATTAAAAGAATGGTCTACTGTAGTGCCTCGGATTGGACTAGTACAACAGTATTAACTGTACATATACATGTGTGCTGCTGTAGTACAGTGTTAACCGGGTTTCACAGGGTTTCTGCTCCTTCTTCTGAAGGCTTACATATCTACAAGGAAGGGCTCTGGCGACTTCAGCCGCCTCGCGCACTCGATTGACTGCAAGATACGTGACAATTAGTGCTGTTGTCTTCAAAGTCGTTGAAGGCCCTCTGTACATGCTCTGTCTACTACATGTAGAAATTCTGTGAAAAATGGTTCGGTGCTGAAGAGCGAGGGCATACTTGATTCGTGTCACCCGACCACAAATCACAATGAATGGATGATCATGTCAACGGGTCGCGTCATGGAACAAAAGGTCGAAGAGTGCTCGACCAAGAACAACGTACCTACTACCGTACCGTGAGTGAACGACCACGACTGACTACTGCAGAGGTGCACGATTTGCGCAACAGTCTGTGACACACAGCAGCAGCAGCCACGCCATGCACCAGCAGCATCATTGATGACACACGTACGGACGGACAGGTTGACTCCGGTGAAAGAAAAAGGGCTGCGCTACAAACCATGCATGCATAATGTGCTGGCATCCGCTAGCGATGAGGTCCTGTTTTCGCCAAGCGGGCGAGAGAGGCGCGGAGAGTCACAGAAATAGTAGCGAACGCGGAGAATTTGTGTCTTGCTCTGCCGTATCCGATTGAGATGAGATGGTGAGCGGGCTCGCCGAGAGTGACGAAACACGGTCTGACCCATGAACCGCGCCAGACTGATTAAGGCGTCCGCTGACCGGTTCATCCAGGGTTCCCGCGAGTTGGTCGACAGACGCAGAGTGAAAACACCGCGAACGTAAAAATTTCTGTGAGAGCTCCAACGATCCTGGAAAAGGAAATGCAGCGCCCTGTACACCTCATCCGCTTCACGGAGCGTTCAATTTCGTTGAGGGAGACAGGTAAGAGGTTCCGATGGAGAAATTGAACAATACCGGAGACGGCAATGGTTTGCGGCACTTGTTGCAGTTGTTGCCCGTACCTCCTCGATTGGCTGATCAGTCAGCTTTGCTCTGTGCAGTTCCTAGTGTTTCTTTCGAGTCTGCAGTTCAAAACTTCGATTTTTTCCGAGGAAGCTGCATCTGCGCGCTATCTCTGAAGTACCTCTGTAATGCCGTCCGGTGTTGGCCATTGCAACCACGATTGTTTCAGGGTGCTCAACCCAGAAATCCAAAAGATGTCGTTCGATCTAATGGAGGGATATTCCTTTATTCGCCAAGCTATTGCCGAGAAATCAGACACATGCATCTTGCTGTGCGGAGTAATGTACAGATTTATTTTGTTTTCTTTCGAATTGCTTCATTATTTCTTCGGTTTCTAGGCTACGTGTTGGGGAGAGAGACGCACGAAACGCTCATCGTCTCTCTGGCCGCGTTAGCTGCAAAGGCCGGCGTCAACTCTTACAAATCCATCTCTCTCACCACAAATACTAGCCGGGGGACTACGACTGCAAACGCAGGAGTCCCAAAACTGACCAAGTCCTCAAATGGTACACACCATTCTACAACACCTGACTAGATACCGAATATTCCCGAACTTATGCCCCCACCTTCGAAAGAAAAGGGATGGGAGGGCGGGATTTTCTAAACTGCCGCCGCTACTGCGTTAGGCGGCTGCTGCTGTCCTTCCGTTGCTTCACGCGCTCTGTAGCTGTCACACGTTACCCGACTTTGCTACAGCCCCTGCGTGGACTCGATCACGGAATGACACCCCCAACTATAGACTAATAATTCCAAACACCGTGACCCTGGGTTTCCGGTAGAAAATGAAGCCAAATTCTAATTCGACTGTTACAAAATAAACACCAGTTTATTCTATCTGCTTCGACGAACAAACCTTCCTATTACTGTATTACATCCCTTTGTTTTGTGCTCCCGTGCTCGAAACCTATACCTGAGAGTTGCATGTGAGTCGTCATCTCGAACGGCCTCCTTTGAGTGTGTGAATGTTTCCTAAAAGCTGAGTCTGGAGGCTGCATCATGCTACTAGAAGTATACTCACAAGATGTCGCGATGCATTGAACTTACTTGATATTAGAGTGGACGCACGTGGGGTGCATAGACTATGTACTGTATTGTACGATAGTTGGTTTTTTTTGGCCGCGCCACAAGGAGCCTTGGTTAACCCTAACCCTAACCCTAACCCAAAACACTACTGGCAACAAGGGAACTCCTGCATTCACCAATGCGTAAACCTCGGACAAAGTGGAGTACTGTCGTCTCATATGGTGGTGGCCGTTGCAGAATCCAGTTGTTCCAAGTAGAAACTTCGGAGGACATGAACGACATGACCTTTGGATTGCAAACAAACCCATGTGAAATGGATCGATCACCTGAATACCATGATGCCGAAATTTCATCGGCTTCGGTCCTTCACTTGAAGTGGTACATCCCTCTTTCTTCAGGCCCACATACCTGCCGCTGCAATCGCTGACCATGTTGCAACAACAAGAACAACCCGACCGAGGAGCCGGATCACTGTTGTGCACAACAAACGACGCATCTCGTTGTCTATGGCCACCGACTTTCCATCAGCCTTGCATTGCTCGTTAAACATCAAAACAATCAAACATCATCATATGCGATGGAAAATGCGACGCTGCGGCACCATTTCTCGTTAATCGATCAGAACGAGTCGACACCGTGGCACCGAACGAACCCGTGAATCTGATGTGTTCATTCCGGTGGAAAGGATCTTGCGAACACTGAGGTATGATACCTGAAACGCTGTGTATGTACTTCGCCGTGCTGTGGCCATCCCTGAATGCAATACGTGCGTCACTGCTGTACAACTCTACACCCGCTTTTGGACAACGTCGGTATGACGTCGTAGTCATGATGTACATGTTGACCACTTTGCAGCTGCAGGTACACGGCATGTCCATGGCTAGATTGCATGTTGCGCTGCACGGAGCGTATGTAATGTGTGTGGGTGTCCCGACGAGCATGGACCACCTTGAGGAGCAACACACCAAACGAGCGTGGCAGAGGTCCGAAAAAGCGGTAGTGTAGCTACTTTTCTCATTAGATTCGGCGCTCGCTGTAATTAAAGCGGGTGTAGAGTTGTACAGGGACGCATCTTACTAGTAGTTTAGTGCAACGGGAAAATATAGCTCGAATTACTTTTTTTCGTCTACGCTCAAACGCAAGGTGATGCCGAAAACTACCGTGTCTTGGGACATCGGCTGCACGACATTCCTCCTGCGACCGGGGAAAGGGTTAATCGGTAAAATTGACCATCCGGCTAGTCAGCCGCTGACTAGCCGGGCTGACTAGCCGGATGGTCTAGTTCCGCGGAGTAAAAGATATGCTCAGAGCTCGTTAGCACCCACCCGGCCGGATCACATGGGCTTGAGGCTGTTTGTAGCCTAATCACTGGGATTGAGAGTAGAGATCTCCGGGGCGTACAGTACCCCTCGCCAGACGCCGCTGTTTTTGGTAAACAAATGGTGATTCTTGTGTAAGTGGACCGATTGGGATTCGAACCCGTGCGTGGAACCTTGTGTAAGAACGCTTTGACCATTAGATGGTAACTTTACGCAAAGAAAAGTGATCCGGCCGGTATTCGAACTTCGTGCGGGAATCCTTTAATCGCGGAACTAGACCATCCGGCTAGTCTCGTGCGGGAATC